CAACAACAACAACAACAACCACAACCACAACCACAACCACAACCACAACCACAACCACAACAACAACCCACAACAACAACAACAACAACAACAACAACAACAACAACAACAACAACAACAACAACAAAACAAAAACAACAACAACAACAACAACAACAACAACAACAACAACAACAACAACAACAACAACAACAACAACAACAACAACAACAACAACAACAACAACAACAACAACAACAACAACAACAACTACAACACATCAACAACAACAACAACAACAACAACAACAACAACAACAACAACAACAACAACAACAACAACAACAACAACAACAACAACAACAACAACAACAACAACAACAACAACAACAACAACAACACCAACACCAACACCAACACCAACACCAACACCAACACCAACAACACCAACAACACCAACAACACCAACTACACCAACTACACCAACTACACCAACAACCGCAACAGTCGCAACAGCCGCAACAGCCGCCGCTACCGCAACCGCAACCGCAACCGCAACCGCAACCGCAATCTCAGCCGCAGCCGCAGCCGCAATTGCAGCCGTAGCCGCAACCGCAACCGCAACCGCAACCGCAACCGCAACCGCAACCGCAACCACAACCACAGCCACAGCCACAGCCACAGCCACAACCACAACCACAACAACAACAGGAGGAGGAAGGCATTTTGCCCGGCACGCAGCATGCCACGTGTGCATAGAACCCTGCGCCTGTCATCGCCCGTTGCCACAACGAGAGGCCAACAATCCAGGAAACCGTAGAAAACGAATACCTGGCTCTGCTTAAACGGCAAGGGGCCTCATGTGATTGGAACATGTCAGGTGTTCGCCACAGAGCAGATACAAACAATTTCAGAGCTGCCTGGACCTCAGTCCTCCATTCGAGTATTCGAGTGGACGAGCAGCTTGCAATGCATCGAGGCTCCCATCATTACAAGCTCCTCACTCGCCTTTCGGGGGCGAAGCGATCGAAGACTTTCAGTTCTGGTCAGTGTCAAGTAGTCCAGGATTTTGCAGTTGTGTGAGCGGCAGGTTGGCCACAGGACACAAAAGAGTACGGTAAGAGGCTGAGTTTGTTGCCAGAGCGCCAGAGTCAAACTCATGGCGCAAGTGCTCCATGTTTGGTGAAACTCTTGGGTTTTGCGAGTTTGGCTTTGCACCACCCGTGGTTTGTCATGTCGCCTCGGGCGACACCAGTAGCATATGCTTCACCTGCAAAGCAGGCTTGAGGTACACTCGCAGCAAGCTCAGGCATGCCAATGAGGTGCGCCGATCGAAAAAGGCGTTTCTGGACTGCTTCTCTCAGAGTCATGAATCAGCTCTCTGCCAGACGACTGTTGCGAGGTCGCTTTGGAGAGACGTGGCTCAAGGATAGCTCGGAGCGGCAAGCCTCGGAGTCGGAGCCATGACGACCGCACATAGACCAACATGGCACGCAGGGGAGGGCTGGCTGGGTGGTTGGGTTGGTGCCTGGGTGTTTAGGAGTCTGGGTTTGTTGGCGAGACGTAGCGAGACGTGAGGGGACAATTATTTGATTCGCTTGAGTTCATGTTCTATCTGGAAAAGAGAAGCCCCCCACATTGTAAGAGTGGGTCTCCAAGAGCGATCTGTTGGCAGGAATGCGGCAATCGCCAGCAACAGCAATCCCGGTGCCTTGGTAGCTGAATTTCGCAGCGGATTGCTCTCGCTGTCAGCTTTGCGAGTCAAGCGCTGCCACACTGCGGAAAACTTGAACAACGGCAACTATTGGAATTAGTCCATGGTCCCCAAATGCATAGTCAGCAGGTAACTCTCTGTCGCTCATTTCAATGTGGCATTTAATTTGCTTTGCAGACGACTATGATTCGATGTATGGCTTTGAGGTGGGAACATGATGGTCGCTCAGACGACAAAGGTTCCTGCCTTGAAGAGTTGAAGAGTGTCTAGCATACCTGGATTGCCCGTCTTCCAAGCTCTGAGATCAACAACCGGGATGCCGCAACCTTCAAGAAGATGAAGTTTAGACAGGACCGAAGCTGTTCACTGCAGCTGTTCCAGTCTACATTGTCTACATTGGTTGTTGGCCCGTCCATGTTGTTGTGTGACAGCATGCCTGAGCACCAATGATTGCTGCAAGACTTGTTCATTTGCAGTGAGCTTCAAACTGAGCAAATCACCGATGCAGGCTGGTCAGGGCTTGCTGGAGGAGCGTGCCTCCCGTACTGACATGACAGAGGCGCGGCCAGCCAAAGGAGGACTCAGCGCCAAACATTGGCAAAGTCAGAAGACCAAGAACACAAGGTCAAACAGAACCAAGCGACCATGACGTCGTCAAAAGAGCTCTGGAGAGTGGATGCAAGGAACTGGAGCGCCGAGAGCGGGCTGCTAAAGACGAGCGGGAAGGAAAGGTGAAGGCTCGCCTGCAAGCTGTGTTTGGGCTCGGATTCTCGAATACAAGGAGAAGAAGAAGCCTTCCCTGGAAGACAATCCCTTCCCGGAGGCGCCAGCGAATAGAGCAAAGCGAATAGAGTTTGCTGACTTCCTGTTTGCTGAGTTTGCTGTTGGACGGGCTCATGAGTCTCATAACTGAGAAGCTGCTCGTAGCATGCACAGATGTAATGAGGTGTGGCACCTCATATTCCGGAACAGGGCTGAAGTTTTAGCTGAACACTTGGCCAGACACAAGCTCGGCATGATCATGACGTGTGCTAGATGGGATGCCAGCTCGAACATTTGTGTGCACGTCACGCCTGAACGTGCTCTAGTCGTCGTAACGCATCGTAACGCTATCAATACACAGGTCAGTGACATGAAGACAATGGCACTGGACCGGCCTGCCCACCCGGCCAGACAGCCAGCCGGTCCACACGAACCAAAGATGTGAATTTCGCGATTTAGTGCCAGTGCCCAATCAGAATTTGGATGTGGCTGACGGCTGACGCTGTGGCAAATGGTTGTGCCATCCATTCATGCCAAGACCGATGGATTTTCTATGTCTTACTGTCTTTCCAGTAAACATATTATAGCTTGGTTAGTTGAATAATCACGACCCCAAAGAGGTACCCCAGAAGGGTGTGCATGCATGTGATGTTAGAGGCCCCTTGACTGCATGTTGTTCCAAGGACATGTCGAATGCCAATGTGCATTTGGCTTAAGGATAATGCCCAAAGCAAAACCAGGGTTTGCGCTCACTTACCGGACAGGGGTTAATAAGGGTCCCGGTTTCTGGTTCTCTGTGTTTCTTTCCCTGTCGAGTGGTTATCAGCCGTAACTGCTTTTTGGGATTAGGCCCCCTCGGTCCGGTAAGTTAGTGCACCTCGTGCATGGACCCGGCTCCGGCCTTTTCGGCCAGAGGGCAGCGTGGCGGGTGGGCACATTGAAGGAAGCTCTACTACGAGGCCTTCGACTCCCTCACCCGCTGGGCGTGTTTGCCATTGGAGTCGAGCGTGTCGCCTGGGCGGACGCTTCGGACTTGCATCGAAGCTCCCTCCTGGCGTGGCACGCCGACTTCACTGACGGCAGCTACAGGCACCTAAGGGACGCATACCCGGACCTGTACGACGCCGCCATTGCCATTGGACGCCACCGAACTCCGCCTATCCACCAACGGGCAAAGGCCGCAGCTCAAGGCGCGGCAGGGCAGGCCAGCACACCCGCTCAGCCAGCACAACCTGCCACCCCGTCAAGTCCATCGTCAACAACAACTGTGTCTACCGTCAAGGCTGCTGCTCCAAGCGCAGCGGTAGCACAGGCAGCAACAGGGACGACAGATCAGGCTGCATCTTTAAGCGCAGCGGCTCCGCCAAGAGCCTCATCCGAGAGTCAGCCCCGTCGGCCCTCCTCCTACTGCGATGTGTATGGGTTAGGCTATGTTTTATAGAGACTTATAACCCAACTTATTACTTCTGCATCTTAACTTATATTCCAACGCAAGTTTCGCAAGTCTCTATACAACTTAGCGCAAGTTCTACAGCAACTCAAGGAAGATACGATAGATGTTAGTGTAACCTCTATAGAACTTACATTAGGACTTATCGCTAAGTTCTAGTAACTTCTAGCCTAAGTTACTTAAGGAGCTTAGGGAACTTAGGTGAACTTACCTTTTTTGTATGATTTTTAGAAATGTAGGCACGCGCTGAAAAAGCGAGTTGGGCTTTTTCCACACAGCCATGCTTTGCTGCACTGAGTCTTTGCCAGTGTCTACCAAGTAATGATCTCAACAATGTCGCCGCGCCGCTGCAACCCAAGAGCGAGGCGCAGGCCGTCTTGCAAGCAATGCGCTTCACAGGTGAATCTCTCCGCTGACGCCACGTTGAGAAAGTCGCGAACTTAAACAGGAGCTCGAGCGGCGCCACCACAGCTGCCACGCACTCGTCAACGCGTAGCCTGCAGACCAGGGACACGGGGATGCCCCGCGCCAGGACAACGTCGTCTGCCGTGTAGAGGGTTTCCAATAAAACTGGTGAGACATTAATTGTTCGCATCGGCTTCGCACAAAACCTCGCCGCGCAACAGAGCATCCTCCCGCGCAGCGACCGCGATGTGCGCGGATGCGAGAATGCTGCGGGCAAAGATGCGGCGCTCGAACCCCGGGCCCGAGCGCAAGTGCGAGGCGTAAGCTTTGAGTAGCCTGTGCCTGCGCTCAACTGGGAAGCAGTCCAGCACCATGGCGTCGCGCAAGATCCGCGACCCGAGATGATGAGGCGCCACAATCTCGGCCCCCCACGCCGCCTGCAGCGCATCATGGTACTGAAGATGCTGAAGGTCGCGGCGCTCGCGACGTTCACGGCATTCACCGGGCAAGTCTCCAACCTTCAAGCCCTGGCACAGGCCCAAGATGTCCCGCACTCTGAACAGGGAAGCGGTCTCTCGTGGCGTGACATCGCGTGTCACCTTCTCCACAAACAGCGGCGAGGATGCTTGCACCACATGGGTCGCAGCTCAAGCGCGACTGTAAAGTGAATGTCTCATAGTGAGCTCGGGGAGGGGGGAGTTGAATAATCACGACCCCAAGAGGTACCCCAGAAGGGTGTGCATGCGTGTGATGTTAGAAGCCCCTTGACTGCATGTTGTTCCAAGGACATGTCGAATGCCAATGTGCATTTGGCTCAAGCATAATGCCCAAAGCAAAACCAGGGCTTGCGCTCACTTACTGGACTGGGGTTAGCAAGGGTCCCGGTTTCTGGCTCGCTGTGTTTCTTTCCCTGTCGAGTTGGTTACTGCCTTCCAGTCCTTGACTCACTGTCAGATTCATTATCTTCTCAGCGCGTACATTGTGGGAGAAGTAGTCTGCGCTTGTTCAGCTCATCCTCAGTCGACCAATATGCTGCATGAGGCTCTGGTGATTTTAAGTGGCCGCACTATACTCAACTTTGCTTGCAGCACAATGAAATGCACATCCAAGTACCATGAAGCACCATTAACCTGGCATTCCAGCGGATCTTTCCTAGCAGTGGAATCTTTGCCAAGTTGCCACTCATGAATGATCCTCGTTCGAAACACGCAACCTTGAAATCTCCACTCCATGTATTCCTTCCACATTCCTTTTGAAGCCTTCAACCGGAAGTGATCCTCGGCAGGATGCTGATGAGGATATGCCCAGTGAGGAGGAGAAGGACCTTCGGGAGCGTGACTGAGAGTATGCTTCTTGATTCCTACCGCTCTAGTGCTCTAGGAGAAGGAGGATGAGGACGGTGACGGCCTCAGGATGAGGACTGCTCAGGTCTAAGTTGAGCTGCCCCAGAAACTGGCATGTTCTCAGCTAGGCGCAACATGGTGCAAGCGGGTCTATGTCAAGCTTCCCCATGTTCCAACTCTGCGAATTAAGCTGCATATGTCCAGTTCGTGAGTATGAGACACTGGCAGTCCAGATGAGCGCGCAGTCTGGCATCTCCTTCGCTGCTAGCGGAGAGTGGTTTCGCGTTGTTTGTACGCCCTCCATTTGACGCTGCTGCAACTGCGAGTGGGTTCAAGTTTACTTTGGCATGGTCAGCTGCTATCAGCTGCTTAGTTGTGCTGGCCTTGCACCACTTGGCCGGCCCTTTCTGTCCCGTGATTGCTTCGAAATACCAGCTCGGTATCTCGACCTACACTGTTGAGCACTCGCTTTGGGCAAGGTGCCGCGTGGCCTTAAGTGCTTTTTGTTGTTGCTCCCTTCTGCCCAGACCTATTTGACATGGGAGCATGCTGAACTTGAAGCGCTTATTGCTGATGTGGGGAGCTGCAGTTTGCACTGATTTGAGGAACATGCACAGTAATGAACTTGGTAGCTGATCACGTGCTGGAAACAACGAGAAGGTCGCGTTGCAGTGCGCTTATTGTCACCGATGTTTGTTGGCATGGCCAGATCAACATGCGAGCTATCCAAAACAGCCACGAGCTGTACTCAGATGAAGACGACGAGGATGATGATGCTGAAGACTCTTGGCTGCATCATCCTCTCATTGTTGCGGTGTTTTCTTGTCGTCACAACCCATCATTCGAAGGTTTCTTACGCGTTTTAGCTGTTTAGGAATTGATGCGGGAGTTGGCGAAGATCAAAAAGGAGCGAGAGGAGGAAGAGGAGGCAAAGAAGGCTCGCAACTGACATATACCTGCAGAGTGTAGCTGAGATTTCGCATATGTTCCGTGAAGTGCTGTATGTATGTGTTTGTGTGCGCACGCATGGTTTGTTACAGTGTTCAATGCACGATGCCAACAACATCCAACGACCAGTCTTATGGCAGCATTTGATTTTGCGCAACCTTCAGGCAATGCAAGCCAAGCAAGACAGGAGAGCACAGAGAGCCGGCCCCCCAGATGCCGAAGTCACCATTGAGCTCGAAAGTTCAGAGATCAGATGCCTTAGAGTGAGCATAGCGAACACTTAGAGGCCTCAATTTGTCGATCCATCAGCTTGCATCAGGAGGAGGTCATGAAAGGGAACCCCATCCTAGCCGACGGTGCAGATGTTTCGTTGAAGAGGCGCGGGTCGCGATTTATGCCTATGTCGCGCATGCCTGGGGTTGCGTGTTATCATCGATTGAGTGAGGCAGTGCGGGGGTGATTGCATGAGGGCAGTGTCATGCCAAGGCGGTGGGATGATGACACTGTCTTCAAGAATCAGGCAGAGGAACACAGTCGTATCAGTCATGTCTTTATCTCATGAAATGCTCCCACGAGCTTCTGCTCAACCTTGTCAGTGAGGCAAGACTTGCGCCCAAAGTCAAGCAGCGCTACATCAATGATGCAGTCATTCGGCAAGCACAAATTGATAGGGAGGATACCAGACACACTGGCACAAGCATTGTCTATTCGCAAGCTTTCGCATCGGGCCTCGCTTCACCCTTTGCAACATGAGGTCCGAAGTGACTTTCACAAAAAGTTTCTCAGCCAGATCCTCAGCCAGCGGGTTTATCGAGCGCACTACCAAGCAACCGAGGCAAGTATGTGTGGGTGGACGGCGTGGCGCACTGAGTCCCGCTTGGCTCGGGCAAAGCAAAGCCCTGCCGCCTGGGAAAGCACCAGACGAGTTGGGAAAAGCGGGAAAAGTCGAGCGAGCGATTTGCGCCTCGGGTTGCAAATATGGCAAGAGGATGCAAGAGGCATCAACAGGCAGAAGGTTCACATAGGCATTAACAAAAGAGCTAGTCGCGCGGTACACATGTTCAATGGTGGCTTTCCTTTTGAGGTCGGCGTTCTTGTTAGCCATGGTGTAAACCATATTGTTGTTGCATGCACACAATACATTTTCTGCACAATATGGAAGCACATTCTGCGAAAAGGTTTCAAGCACAGTTTCGGGAAGGATTGAACAGGCCCCAACCCACCAACAAGAAGAGACTACCCAATCCGCCCAGTCCCAAGGGGCAAAGCGGTGCCCCCGGCTGGCACAAACAGTAAACCAAAAGGGGTGCCTTTAGCCACCCAGCAAGTCAGAAAGCACAGCGAGAGCATAGCAGCAGCACCAAAGCAAGCGAGCGAGCGAAGCGAAGCGAAAGCAAAGCAAAGCAAAAGCAATTCGTAACACCCCCAATGCCAGAAAGGTCTGGAATGCGTTCTCCGAGCAGCTGGCGGCTTGGTGGAACTCTGCTATGATTCAACGCAATCGCGGCAAGCTGCGCTCCACTTGATGATGAAATTGGGATTCGGCGGCTGCGAGGCTATTCAGCGCATGATGGCTGAGGCATTGCCAAGCATTTTGGAGGTCATGCTGAGAGACGGCGACGTCGGCTGGGACGGGGCATTGCAACACCTTGTCTACTGCCATCCTCTCTTGGGGCAAGAGTTGCGGAAGAAGTGCATTGAGGTTTTGGTGGAAATCGTCATGCACGAAGATGATTCTAATACTCCTGCAATTGATTACCGCATTGATTACCTGCTGCACAAACTGGAGCTCTTGACCGGCGACCTGTGCTATCCGTCCAGAGACCAACTTCAGCGTTTCGCAAGCTGGATGACTTCGGGGTCCACTCGGCAGCTATGCCAGTGAAGTACGGCGTGGCTCGCTTCCTCTGGCACTACGTCGGTAAAGGCTCTAGTCTAATTTGACATTTGAGTTACATTCCGGAGAGCTCGATCTGTGGCTCAGAGCCCTCAGGCGCGTAAAGAGGCGTCCAGGAGCGCCGAACTCCGTGCAATTGGGTCGCGAATGGGTCGAGATATGGGCGTCGGATGTACTTGGGACGTATTTGGATGTTTCTTTCGGACGCCGTGGCACAGTCAGGAGAAGGAGGAGAACAAGCCGTGGCCAAACAGCGAAGGCCAGCCTTGCTGCAACAGCCTGTTCGTGGGGCAACGCCTACCACACCAAACAAGAAGGGCCGCGACTCGGGAGACCGGGAGAAGCGCAAAGACAGCGCGACCATGTGAGCGGGTCCTACACGCGGGTCGACAAAACGCACAATAGAAATTGCGGCGCCAGTGGAACTAGCGAGTGAGCGAGTGCCAATCTCAAAGATCAGCACGGGTTGAAGGTTGGCCATGGCGTTGACGTGTTGGATCAGCTTGGCTTCGGGTTTGAAATTGCGGGCCTTTCTGAGTGCGCCCAGGCTGTACCGTATGCGGACTAGCGTAATTTGTCATGCCATCGTTTGATCAAGCCCGGACAGCAAGGAATAAGCATGAACAAGCGTTGAAGTCAATCGCCGACAAACATGTTCCTGACATGTTGACGCATGGTTTGGCATCTTTGACAAGGTTGATCCCGGGCACAAACACTCTGCAAGAAGTAGACTCTTCTGTTGACAGCTTCTGCATTTCCCCGTGTCCCCTGTTCGCTGGATTTGTTTGAATTCCAGTATGATGAACCACGAGCTGGCTGGCCTTAGATAGTTGAGCGGGTCGGATGTTGATTGGGGCTCATAAAAATTGCAAGTGCCGAGCATTGCGGTCTCCCACAACAGCAACACTGTCAGCCGGACAGGTGTTGCAAGGTGCTGCCAAAAGAGTTGCAAGGCTCCTAGCAACGTCTGCAATCACCTAACCGCCAGGCACACATGCTCCAGAGGCAAACCCCTCGACTTGGGGAATAAGAGCTTTTTTCCACCGCCCCGCAGGCCCGCACTCAAGCACGCATGCAGGGGGACATACCCTAGCGGTGTCTTGTTCCGCTTCTTGAGGAACCGGTGTGACCTTTCCCGTTTTGT